CCTCCTGTGCAATTAATTGCCTCTGAAACCATGCCAGAGGGTCAGCTATGGATCAGTTTCAGCTCAACAGGACACAACAACAATAATCCTATTACCTCAAAAAAACTCCAAAACTTATTAAATTGGTAGAAGCTAAATCTACTTTAAAAGAAACTCACAATATACTGTCTGAATAAAATTATAACCTCTTCCTGAACATAGAAATACAGATGCTACCTCATTTATTTGTTCACTGCACATATCTGATTGTTATGTGCCACCAAGTCGCTTCAGACTCATAGCGATCCTATGTACAACAGCTCTGAACCCTGCTTTATCTTGAGCCAACTTGACTGTCTCTGACACACCCACCCTCCATTACCCCAGTCACTGAATCAATCCATCTCATTGAGGGTCCTCCTCTTGCGCTGTCCCTCCACCCTTCCAAGCATGAGTCCCTCTCCAAGGACTGGTCCTTCCTTGCAACATGCCCAAAGTATGTCAGACGGAGCTTCAGAATCTTTGCCTCCAAGGAGCAGCCTGGTCTCACCCTTTCCAGGATAAACCTGTCTGTTTTCCTAGCAGTCCGTGGTATACTCAATACTCTTCTCCAACATCACAGCCCAAAGGCATCAATTCTTCTATCATCCATAGTCACTGTCCAGCTGTCTGATGCATAGCAACTAACTGCAAACACTGTAGGCTGAATCAGATGCACCTTGGTCTCCAGATTGACATCGCTGCTCAAGTACAATTTTATAACTGTTACTATATAAGCACCTTGAAGGAACTATGATGGTATAATCTGTAGCTTATTGAATTGCTAACCAAAAGGCTGAATGACTTCAGTGGTTTGAATCCACCAGCAGCTCTATGAGAAAAAGATGGGCCGTCCCTCCTTTCCCTTTGCAATTTACAACATTGGAAACTTGATGGAGCATCACTGTAATAGTTACAACCCACCTGGCAGCAGTGTAAATACACACCTTTAAAGTCTACATGGCTACTACTGGATTTAAGAGTTGGAGAACTTTTCCTTCTGATTCTGATTAATATCAGAAAAATACATTTAACTGTGAAAGCTTGATAAACTTTTAAGGCTATACTGATAATCTGCGTACTTTACTACACATTAGTTTAAAACATCTTTTATTTGTTTCTATACTACTGAAAAATATCCTTAATACTACATGGAGTCATTAGAGAAATGAGTTAACTATTAGAGATCTTTCAGTTTGCAAGTAAACAGAGGTGTCTCTTTGGAATTTATGTGTGAGCAATGAGCAAAGTATATGCTCAGCCACTAATAATGGAAGAAATGTAATTAAATTGCTATTTTACTCTTACTACATCAGCTTTCTCCCCCAAATACATGAAAATCACTTATCCACAAAAAAAAAGAGGGGGGCACAATAACAGGCCAAGCCCTGGTAACACAGTAGTGGGTTGTTTTGTTTTTGTTTTAATCATTGGGCTACTAATTGAAAGACCTAGGGGTTTTTTGTTGTTGTTTTTGTTTTAATTTTTATGTGCGTACCGTCCAATCAGATCTGACTGGTACAGGAGGAGATTGTCCCTCCTTCAGCAGAGCTTCTGGTGGATTTGAACCACATATCTCTCAGATTGCAGTGCAGCTTCTTGCCACTAGGCCACCAGAACTCGCCAAAAGACCTAGTTTGAATTCACGTGCTACTCTGCTGTAGAATGATGAGGTAGTCGCCTCTAATAAAAAGTTTACAGTCTTGGAAACACCATGGGGAGTCCCACTCTGTACTATAAGGTGATTATGAGTCAGAATTCTCTCTAGGACAATGTATTGGTTTTGGTCTGAAAACAACTAGAACCTAGCCTGAAATGATTTATGCTGCTAATCAAAATGCCCAGTATTTCTGGCAGTTTAACTCTCTCAGCAGTTTTACAGAAAAGAAAGATTATCAGTCTCCTCCTGTTAAGATTTATTCTCAGAAATCCCAGTAACCTATGGAGAAGCACATGCAATACCGGCAGTCAAAACCAGGCCAGGTGCTGACTGTAGAATGAACTATTCATTATTTGTGTGCAAGTTTAAACTGAAGCTGAAGAAAATGAGAACAAGTCCACAAAAACCCATCTGATTGAAAAATCATCTTAAGAACACAAGCTGAGACACTGAACACCAATGATTGAAGAACAGAGGAGTTTGGGGATCATATTCAAGGATGCCATCCATGAAGAGATCAAAAGGTCATTAAAAAGAGAAGAGAAAGAAAAAAACCAAATGGATATCAGAAGACTCTGAAAATTGCATTAGATTACTGATAGGCCAAAATAAAGGGAAGAGATGTTTAACTAAGTAAAAGAGCTGAGAAGATTTTAATGGGCGCTTGAGAAGACAAAAGTATTATAATGGAATGTGCACGGAGTTGGAGAATAGAAAGGGGAAAGCTCACTTGGCATTTCTCAAGCTGAAAGAATGAAAAACCAAATTCAAGCCCTGAGTTGCAATACAGATGCTATCAGCATAATCTGGAATGATCCAGGAAGCTTCAGAAGATGGTACAAATATACAGAATTACTGTACCAAAAAGAATTGACTGACCCTGAAATATTTCAGCAAGTACCATATGATCAAAAGCCAAAGGCAATGAAAGAACACACTGAAGCTGCACTGAAGGCCTCGGGGGGAAAAAAAAATGAAAGTAAGGTCCAAGGAATCTACGGGATACCAATGTCCATATTTCAGTAACAGATGAAGCCTTGGACATGCTCATCAGTCTGTGCCAGGTAATCTGGAAGACAGGTGCCTGGATGACTGACTGGAAGAGATCCATATTTGTTCCCATCCCTAAGAATGGTTGAAATTATCAAACAATATCACATGGAACGGTACATTAACAAAGAATTACCAGAAGTTCTAGCTGGGTTAAGAAGAGGCTGTGGCAACACGGATTATCGATGCTAATGTCAGATGGATCTTGAAAAGCAGAAGAGTATCTATTTGTGCTTTATTGACTATGCAAAGGCATTTGACTGTATGGATCATGACAAACACTGGCTAAAACTGAGAAGACTGGGAATTCTAGAATACTTAATTATGCTTATATGATACCTGGACTTAGCCCAAGAAACTGCTCTCCAAACAGAGCAAACAATGCATGGTTTCAAATAAAGAAAGGCGTGCATCGAGGCTGTATTCTTTCTCCATACCTATTCAGTATTTTGCTGAATAGATTACTCAAGAAGCTGAACTCCACCACAACGAGATAACACGACTGCAAAATGGGCACAGTAGATGAACAGACATACTTCACCAAAGACATTCAGATGCCAACAAACACATGTTTGTGTTCAAAAGCCCTAGATTTAAGAGAAATGCAAATCAAAACAACTATAAAATAGCATTTCACCCCAGTAACAATACCAAATTCAGCAGAGCAGCAAACAACAAATGCTGGTGAGGTTATGTAGAAATGTTCATTGTTGGTGGGAGTATAAAATGGTACAACCACTATGGAAGGCAGTATGGCACTTTCTCAAAAAGTTGGAAATATAAATACCATTTGACCCAGTAATTCCACTACTGGGAATATACCCTAAAGAAACCAGAACTGTCACCCAAGCAGATATAAGCACACCCATGTTTACTGCTGCTTTTACTGCAAAGAGTTAGAAATAACCCAGCTGCCCATCAACAAACGAATGGATAGAGAAGCTGTGGAATATTCACACATTGGAATCTTATGCAGCATGGAAAAACAAGGAAATCATGAAATATTATACAAAATGGGTGACCCTGGAGGACATTATGCTGAGTGAAATATCTGTCACGAAAGGACAAATACTGCATAATGCCACTGTTCTAAAACAGGACTGACATCAGGGTTGGGGGAAATTAAGAAAAAGGGATAAATAATGTACATTGCATTGAAACAGACAAGGGAGACAACTGTATAAAAGGAATAAAGAATTTGAATTATAACTTGGGGCAGAATAACTTACTGCCTCATCCAGAGTCAATCATATAAAACTTTTTCACTTTCCATTAAAAAGGATGGAAAGGGTTACAACTTCATTTATCCATCTTTCCTGGAGCTAGAGGTAATCATATTATAAACTAATGGCCAGTGGATGAACATAAAGCATGCTACAGTTTTTTGGAAAACATTTTCTTTTTATGAGAAAAAGGTGAGAGGTGGAAGGCTCTGCTTCTTTTATTCCTTTTCTGTGCTGTATACAAAGTACTTTGAACTGTCATCGTGTTACCATAAAACAAAAGCTAAGAGAATCTGAGGAACTTGGTTCTCAGTAACAACTCAGCCAGTGCCAATGTCCACCTCTCCTAGGCTTTTTATTATGTTAGTAAAATCCTTATTTGAGTAATTATTCCTCTTCAGGTCCTGTTACTTAAAATAAAATGTTCTCAATTGATAAAAAAATAATAAATTCTAATAGGTACAAAAGGTTTTGTCAACTAGAAAAATCAAAATAGCTGACTTATGATATTTATGATAAATATTAAGAAAAAAATCTGTGCAATAAGGAATTTAACATGTTAAGTTAAAAAGTTTGACTAATTTTATTGATTTTAGACTATGAATATTTTGACATTTAATGTAGGTATTTACATTCTAATACCAAGGATAATTATCAATTGTCTTTTGTTGAGGAGTCAAGAACATTTTAAGTAACCCAAACACATTTTCATGAAAAATTTTTATGTATGTATAGAAATAATGAAACAGCACCAATGATTCAGTTGTTAAACAGGCTGCTTCAGCCATAAATGGCATTCAATTTGCTTTAAAAGCATTTGATTGCAGTGAATGGTTCAAACAGGTTCAAATTGGGTTAGATTTTCCATAGGTGTTTCTCACATTGAAAACAGTAAAATCCATCTTCTGATTATCAATTTGAGCTGCAGAGATTAAGGGTCCTTCACAGCATTGACGGCGTGATGCCATCTGCACTTGAATCGACACTGCACTTCCAGACTCTGGCTGCCTGTACTACAATATCATCTTTCTCTGAAATCAGCAGCTACATCAAGATGGCTCGTCTGCTAAGTCACGTTGATCAAAATACCTTAAAAAGAAAAAAAGAATTTATTGTACATTACTACCACCACCAAATGTATCTAATGCTTTGCCATTAACCAGCTTTGTAATTATAGAAGTTACTATAATTACTAAGAGAAGTTACCTCTCTCTGCTCATCTGTAGTTACAATTTCCTCCTCCCTAAACGGCTAATAAAATAGCCTGCCTTAAAAGATTAAATGAGTTTCTCTTAGGGGATACCAAGAGAAGTGTCAAAGAGTAAGGGCTAATAATCTTTAACTTGGTTAACTGCACGTGAAGAAACTAGATGTTGATTAAGTGTATTCTGAAAGGTGCATTACATGAGGAAATGGGAGAGATGACTAGGATTACATATCTATCCAATTTTGAATATAAAGCCATAAAAAGGCATGGAGTAAAAACACTAATCCATGAAACAAAATTATCAAGTCTGGAAAGAACTTTCTGGAAGGCAAACTGTTAGTTAAGTATCCTATTTTCAAGAGTACATACTCTCTGACATATTTCTATGAAATTATTCTTAGAAATAAGAAGAGCTTTACATATAAGATCTTCAAAGCAGCATGACTTACAAATAAAATGGGAAACAAAAGAGGACTAATTAAATATATTTTGATACATATAAAATTAGTATTTCCTTAAACATCACTTTCCTGAACTATAAAATGGAAACAACAGTACGGACCCACTACACATACAATTATTATAAAACAAATCAATAAAGATTTAATTATACCTGCTAACTAAGCAGATTAGTAAATTCAAAGCAGGAACTCTTTCATCATCTTTGTTGTCCTAAAAAACAAAAACCAACAAACCCCAAACATTGTTTCTCCCTTCATATTTTGAAAAACATTTCAAGATACAAAAAGTATGAAAATTTATCAGACAATAGTAACCATCACATGGAAATGGGAATCCTCAAAGAAAAAGGAGACAAATTTAACATTAACAAACCCCTGAGGAACATCTAAGATCATAATTTTTTAACAGAAACAGAGTAAGAGTAGAGGGCTCTAAAGGAAGAAAACTAGGGAGAAAATTTTGCTACTTCCTATGCATCAGAGAGCTGGACAATGACTAGGATGACGGTAGAAGACTATGATGCCTTTGAGTTCTGGTGCTGGAGAAGAGTCTTAAACATACCATGGACTGCCAAGAAAATAAACAAATCTGTCTTGGATAGGGTAAAACCAAGTTTTTCCCTGGAGGCTAGGATTTTGAAGCTCCATTTCGCATACTTTAGGCAGTGTAGGAGAGGAAGATCCTGGATGAGATGGATACAGTAACTAGGGCAATGGGGATAGGAGTGTTAAGAGTCAGTAGTACTGGCTTAGGGCAGGGCAGGCTTCAGAGCTGTTTTACACAGGGTTGGAATAGCTGGGCCATATGAGATCTCTTTGCTCAGTTTTTTGAGGAAACACCATTCTGCCTTCCATAATATTACACCATTTACAATCCCACCAGCAGTGTGTAAGTTCCAGTTTCAGATCCTCTCCAACATTTATTGTTTGTTGTGGTGTTAAATGTTGCTTCTGCTGCTGCGGTGAGAGGGCATATAACAACAACAATAACAAATGTTCTGCCTGAATAACAATAAGAAAAGTATAGCTAAAAGACATAGAATTGAGGAGATAAATTCTGGCTTCTCGTCATAAGGCTTACCAGAAAATATTCCAGAACTGAATTCTGAATTTTGATGTAGGTAGGTTTTGATCAAATTCTAGAATTGATTTTTTTTTAAATTTTATTATTTTTTGAGTGCATACTGTCAAATCTGATCTGAGTGGTATAGGAGAAGACTGCCCCTCTTTCTCCAGCAGAACATCTGGTGGATTTGAACCACGTGCCTCTGGGATTGCAGTAAGAATCCTAATTTTAAAAATATGTCAAAACATCAGGTCTAGACACACAGGAAATAATCTTAAAGATTAACTAAATTTTTTTTGAGGGAGCTCTGCTGGCCTAGCCTGTAGGAGATTAGGCTGCCAACCCAAAACCACATGTCTCCAGCTGTCTCAATCTACCAACAGCTCCAAGGAAGGATGATAGGTAATCTCCCACACAATTTACAGTCTTGAAACCTGATGGAAGATCACATGTAAGTTGGTTCCGACTAGATGGCAATGAGTTGAGATGTATTTATTTCAGTAATAGTCACAGTTACTTATTGGATATTGGTAGGGATATCAATATATGTTCAAATTTGATATGTATATTAAAATTATTATGCATATTAATTCAAACATGTCTGTTATTAAGGCTTTCAATTCTTCTAGGTGCTAGGGACCACAGAGAACAGAACTGAGTAAAACATAACTTGCTAGAAGCATAGAACGTCAAATATCTACATACTTGTTTTAATGAAAGTGAAATGTATTAAATGTCATAAATGATAAAAAGTTATCATTTGGAAAGTGTCATGTTGGAAAAAACAGAAGAAGGGTTTTTTTTTATTAGGATTAGAAGATGAATCAAAGTAGTGATAGAATGAGCCAGACTGCAAAATGCAAAAGGGATGTAGATGCAGAATGGAAGAAAAACACTTTTGCAGAAGGAATAAATAACAGCAAAAAACTATAGGGAATATTTAGGGAACAGTAATATATTTGGTAGCATAGCAGGCCATGTGGAAAGTCATGTGGTTTGAGCCATAACATGGAGCTTTTAATTTATATATGTTTTGTAGAAGTCAATGGACATTTTGGAAGGGAAGTAGAATGAGAGAAAAAGACTAGGCTTACTCTGGCAACTGATTATTTTATATTGTAATGCTATAGAGATGTATTAGAAGAAGAGTCTTAGAATTTAAAAAAAGTGCCAGAGGCTACTAGGTGACTACTTTTCTTGTCTTCCTTCCCTATTTGGCAAAAGCAGCTCATTTTTAGCTGGTACACTGCCACCAAGCTAAAGGTAAACAATTCTTACAATTGATCATGTCCATGTGACTAAATTCTGGTCAATGATTTCTATAGGTAGATGTGTTTAAGAAGTCTCTAGGAAGGCTGTATGTAGGTTTATTGTCTTTTCTTTCCAGATACTTACAATGAGATATAATGGCTGAAACTCCAGCAGTACTTTGTATCATGAGATGAATATGAAACCTTAGATCTATTTTCTTTAACATCCATTTCTCTGAGAAAAACATTACTTTTTTTTTTTTTTAATATATTTAAGCTATTATTTTGGGCTTTCCTGCCATGTGGCCAAATTTAATCTAAACTTGTATTTCATGTTTTCCAATGTCACTGGACTATTTTTACCACCACCTAAGTAAACCACTGGGTGCTTTCAATTTGAAACAGAAAGCTGCAACTTACCACTAAAAGCCTCACTTCAGAGCATCTTCTTGCAAGCTGCCGAATCAGTGAATGAGCCTCAGGTAATAATGGTTTTTCAAGACAAGCCAATAAAGCATAAAGCCACCTTCCCTAAACAGAATAAAAAAAAAAATAAAAATTAATAGGCGAATACTGAACTATAAATTAAAATTGTTTTTTTAAAAAACAATTTAATGTTGTTTCTAGTTATCTGTTTTGAGTACATTCACAGAACAGTTAGCTGTATTATGTTTGGAAACAGGTAACAAAGAGTCAACTAAATAGCCAGGACTTATCTCTTGTATATATAGGACACTGAATACTTCAAAATTAACACTCAAAAGAGTTTGTATCAGGGATGTTTATTACAACTGAACTCCTAATTCATAAGGAGGAAACTAAGATATGTGCAAATTCTTGCAATAATTATTTTTCTTTGTTCTTTATAGACAGATAACATAAATAAAGTTTATCTTGTTTCCCTACAAAGACACTATATTCAAGATGAAATAATGTTTTGAAGGCCCATGCAGGGTGATTACAGTTACCCTTCTATTTTTCTAATTGGTTTTATGTTTTAATTACAGAAATAAAATATACTCTTAAGAAAAACTTAGTACACAGAAAAAACAAAACACAGGGCAAACAAAAACGTATGCCTCTTCCAAGCAAAAAATTTATATTAAGATTTAAAATGGCATATTTATCTATGTATATGTACAATATTTTTCAATTAAGTTTCAGTACTGCATATTATTTTGTGGCCACATAATAAAATTTTTCTCATTTTGGTAGGGTAAGTACTGTGTCATACCCTGTGTAAGGTCACTGCTACAAAAAGCTAAGGAAAGATTTACACATAGGTGAGGTCACTTTTTTTTTCTCAAGGTAAATGTAAAGATTGATTTATCAGAAAATTACACCCAAAGAGATGGACCTCATTTCTTGAAAGGAAATATGGATAAGAGGACTAAATTCACTCTTAAATGGTTGCTTCTGAATGTATGTATTCTAAACTTTTTGTTTCCGCAAATAAAATCTATCTGAAAAATGTTAAAATTTCTTAAAATCAAATCAGGGAGCCCAATTCTGAAGCGGAAAAGTTAGCTGTAAAATACAAAGCAGTTAAAAAGGAAAAAACTATAAAGCAGTAAAATAAAGGGTGGTGAAGCATGCTGCCATTCCTTTATCTGTAAAATGGAGAGAATATTCATCAGTTGTTGGATAATTTAGAGGGTTATTTTGTAAATTCTCACAGCAATGTCTGAGACATAATGCTATTACAGTTGTTATTTCTGTTATCCTATGGAGACTAGATTTCAAGGCCATTTTAGAAAATGCATTTTTAACTTGCTTCAAGTCTGTGGGATTTGCAGACAGGTTCTGATCTTTCTGTTACTAGACTGAGATCAGACTAAAGGTGTCATTCTCATGGCCTAGTGCCTGCACTGCTATCACAAATCCACAGGGTTCAAATTCTGCTCTACAAGTGAAAGATGGAGAGTCTCCTCCTGTGTGATTTACAGCCTTTGAAAATCTACTGGAGGGTAAGCTATGGATCAGTTCCAACATGATGACACATAACAATGACGATTACAACAACATCAGGATTATAAATAAACTTTAGGGGGAGGAGTGGGCAGGGAGAAAAGTACAACAATGAATGAATGGAAATCCAAAGTCTCTGTAAATTGTCATTAAAATTATTATTTTTATTAATAATAATAAAAATGTAACTAGAAAATATTGGGGGAAAAAATCAACTCCAGTTCAGCCGGCATACTTTAGCCTAAATGAAGGAAGCAGTAGACTGATTTATATTGGTATAGCTCCTTATGTCACTGCAAACAAGTATGAACATACATACACATATGTATGAACATAGCAAAAGATAATCTTTATGTGTACAGAACATAGCAAAAGATAATCTTTAAGTGTATATAATTTTGCCTGCATTATGAAAAGAACAAGATATATTACCAGTTCTGGTGTAAATTCTCTTTCTCCAAACCAATTACTCAGGTATTCCAAGACACTAGTTATTGTTGCCTAAAAAAGGGAATGCTGTATTATTAATAAAGAACAAACAAGTTAAAAATGAGTCTCATTAAATTTAACTATTAGAAAGCAATCTAATGTTAAAATGGTCTCATATGACTCCTGAGAAAACTGTAATTCCAGTTAGTAATTTTGTTGGATGGCTTTCCCAATGACAAGACACTTTTTTAAGCAAGTAAGTCTCATACTCTCAAATACCAACAAATGCCTTAACTTAAAAGGGCTTACTTTATAAAGAGAAAAATTACTTGAAAAATTCCATGTGTTCTTAAGAAAAAGTCTTTGCATACTTTCTCAATTCAAAGTAAATTACAGCTCAAGTTTAAATTATCTAGAGAGAGATGTGTTTTAAAGTTTCAAAGACAGAATTTAACAAACTCTTAAGTATATTGTGGTTTACTCCAATATGAAAAGTAAGCCAGTTAATTCTGATTCATGGCAAACCCATGTGTGCATATTAGAACTAAACTCAATTCTGATTTTTCAACACTGTGACCTTTTGGCAGCAAATTGGCAGGCTTTTTGTCCAAGGTACAAAAGGTGGGTTTGAAGGACTAGCATCCATCTGTCATAAAAATGCCTGTGTGTTATTAGGATATTAAACAGGCTTCAGTAGAGTTTCCACACTCAGATGAATTAGCAAGAAAAGCCTGACCCAGGCTTCAAGAATCAGCCACTGACAACCTATTGATTTCAACTGTCCAATCCCCATCTGTTTATGAGGATGGCATAAGACAGGACATTTAGTTTTAAAGTAAATAGCATGCCATGATTTAGAGATCAATGGTAGAAAACAGTAACAAAATACCCTTTCTTAAAAAAATTTCTTGTCTAAGAATACCCAAAGCTATACAAAAGTGAAACAAATTATTTTCTTTGCTCCAAAAAGGTGTAACAGAATCCCTATTTCTAAAAGACTGATGAATCAAAGTCCAAATTTCTGTCTTTTTGATCCAGGACATCACATATTTCATTCTTGAAACAGCAATCTAACCTTAAAATAGAATTCAAACTCCAGAAATGAAAATTTTATATTGAAATGTTAAAATGGAATAGTTTAGCACTGAGATAAAACATCACAAGCTTTAGAGTTAGGTGGACATGGGCTTGAAACTCAGTGATGTCATTTACTTACTCTGAAGCCACCTGTAAGTTATTTAACTCCCAACTGTGTTTCCTCATCTATGTTGTTGCTATTGGGTGCTGCTGAGGCAACTACATACAACTCATAGCAACTCCATGAACAACAAATGTGAACCTTGTCCTATCCTGCACCTTCTCAGGATCTCTGATATGCTCAAGACTATTATTACTTGTGTTAATCCTTCTTATTGAAGATCTTTAAAAATTGACTATAACTATCCATAAAGAGTTGTAGTGAAGATCAAATGGGAATAATCTGAAAGATTAGCACACTTTCTGCATACTGTCAAATATTCAGTTAACATATTAAAATACTTTCACATAAAACACACATACACTGAAATAAAAGGAATGCATATATCTTTATCATTAGATGGATTTTACCTGATTCATTCTGCTAACAATACTAAGCAAGGGAGGAAATCCAACCTGAAAAAATAATGAAATCTGTTATATAGTAGTATAAGCTGAGCTTTCTCTATCACCCTCGAAGTACTGTCACATTGTTAGAAGAATGGACAAAAGAAAATTCCTTCACTGCCCACTGTAACATTCTAGTAACCACTATGCTAGTGATGTCCAAGAAAATATGAATATGCAAGTTTTAAAATATGGAACAATGTTAATAAATAAAATAGGAAAATTTAAAATCACGAGTTGCCTGCAACTTATAGGGACCCTGTTTACAGGAGCTCTGAACCTTGCCTTATCCTGAGGCAGTATCACTGACTGACACACCTACCCCCAATAACCCAGTTACTGTGTAATCCATCTCATCTGGAGTCTTCCTCTCCTGCGCTGTCCCTCCACCCTTCCTTCTCCAAGGACTGGTCCCTCCTGGCCATGGACTCAAAGTTTGTGAAATGGACCTGTTACTACTTGAAAAGTTACCTTCTTATTTAACACAGTCAATAAAATTATTACATTGATATAGTGACAAAAATCTGCTCAGGTCAGTATTTTCAGGAAATTATAGATAGGTGAATTAGATGTTTTTTAAAAAATATGCTATGATTAAACAACTATGAGATATCATCTCACCCCAGTTAAGAATAGCAAAATTTAACAGAACAACAAATATCAAATGCTGACACGGTTGTGGAGAAACTGGAACCCTTATTCACTGCTGGTGGGAGTGTAAAATTGGTGCAACCACTATGGAAGGCTGTAAGGCGCTTTTTCAAAAAGTTGCAAACAGAAATACCATTTGACCTAGCAATTCCACTACCGGGATTTACCCTAAAGAAACCTTAACTGTCACCCAAGCAGATATATGCTCACCCATGTTTACTGCGGCTTTGTTCGTAATAACAAAGAGCTGGAAACAACCTAAGTGCCCATCAACAAATGAATGGATAGAGAAGCTCTGGTATAGTCACACAATGGAGTATTATGCAGCACTGAAATACAGGGAACTCATGAAATATTATGCAAATTGATGACCCTGGAGGACATTATGCTGAGTGAAATATCTCCATCACATAAGGACAAATATCGAATAGGGCCATTGTTGTAAAAAGGGACTGACATCAGGGTTGAGGGAAGACAGAACAGGAGGGGTGGAATGATGTATATTACATTGAAACAGATGAGGGAGAGAACTGTTTAAAAGGCATATATGAATGGGTATTCTTGTCATTACACAAGTCCAGAGTGAAGGCTGCAAAGTGGCGTGGAATTGGGGGGAGGGATTGCATAGCCATGAATGAGTTTTTCTTTTCAAGGAGAAGAGTGAATTGGGGGGGAGAGGGTGGGCAGGGAGAAAAGTGCAAAAATGAATGACTGGAAACCCTAAGTCTCTGTAAACTTTCATTAAAATTAATAAAATTTAGAAAAATGCAATGATTTAAAAAGCACCATTGTGAAATGATACATTTTATTGTGTTCTTAAATGGTTCTCATGTGGTATATTTGACTTATATATATTCTGTGACAATACTCTAAATAAGTAAATTTGTATTCCTTGTTTGATTACAAGTGGCAAAAGATTATATTAATTTTTTTTTATTTTATTATTTTTTTGTGCGTGTACCGTCAAATCAGATCTGACTGGTACAGGAGGAGATTGCCCCTCCTCCCCCAGCAGAGCATCTGGTGGATTCGAACCGTGCACCTCTGGGATTGTAGTTGCAGCTTCTTGCCACTAGGCCACCAGAGCTCCCCAAAAGATTATATTAAAAAAAATAGTCTGGCCAAGAGATTTGAATCTATTTGTAGTCCTCAGAAAAAGAGCAAGGAAACACTGCATGGTTCAAAATCAGGAAGGGAATGTGTCAGGGATGTGTCCTGTCTCCATAGCTTTTCTATCTCTATATAGAACAGATGATCCAGGAGGTGGGTTATATGAGGAGGAATGTGGCATCAGGATTGGAAGAAGACTTATCAACAACTACATTATGCAGATGATACAACCTTGCTTGCTGAAACTGAGGAGAACCTGAAGTGCTTGCTGCAGAATGTCAAGGACTGTAGTCTTCAGTATGGATTGAAGCTCTACATCAAGAAGACAAAGGTTCTCAGCACTGGGTCAACTGGTAGCACCATGGTAGATGGAGAAGAGATTGAGGTTGTTAGCAATTACAGCTTTCTTGGCTCCACAATCAATTCTCTTGGCACCAGCAGCCAGGAAATCAAAAGACGAATTGCATTAGGTAAATCTGCTGTCAGGGACCTCTCTAGAGTACTGAGAAGCAAAGATGTCAATCTGAATACTGAGGTGTGCCTAATTCAGGCCATGGTCTTTGCAATTACTTGAAATGGATCAGAGGGCTCGACAATGACTAAGGATGACAGAGTAAGAATTGACGCCTATGGGCTGTGGTGCTGGAGAAGAGTCTTGAACATACCATGGATCAAGAAGAAAACAAATAGGTCTGTCTTGGAGAGGGTGAAACCAAGTTTCTCCGTGGAGGCTAGAATTTTGATGCTCCGTCTCACTTACTTCGGGCATTTGGCCAGGAGGGACTGATCCTTAGAAAAGGACATCATGCTCAGAAGGGTAGAAGGAAGAGCACAGGCATGAAAGATCCCTGATGAGATGGACTGATACAGTAACTGGGGCAATGAGGTAGCTGTGTCAGTCAGTGAGACTGGCTCAGGACAGGGCATGCTTCAGGTGTTGTACACTGGGTGTTGTGTCACAGGCGACTCGATGGCACATAACAACACAGTACTATGACTGTGAAGGAGCCTTGGTGGCTGCATTGTATAATGTGTAAGGCCGCTAACCAAAAAGTTGGCAGTTTTTGTCAGCAGACCACTCTGAGAAAGATGGGCAATCTTTTCCTGTTCTGATTTACCTCTTTGGAAAACAAAAAAGGGTCACTGATTAAGAATCAACTTAATGACACAGAGTAAGTTATGATTATGGGAGAAAACACCTCTTTTCCCAGCCTTTGTCAACAGTGTATCAAATATTCTTTGCCAATATAACCTGAAAAATAGCAGCTCACTGTAGTTATATTAAATTTCTTATGTAAATGATGCTGAGCATCTATTCATCTAAGAACCATCAGTATTTCCTTTCTGTGAAATGCTTATTTATGTATTTTGCTTACTTTTCTCTTAAGTTCTTCATCATTTTAGTTACTTCTGTAACTCTACATTTTTTACATAAATGAATTTAAAATGAGAAAAAACTTCACTTTACAAAACAATAAATATTTGTGGAATAGAGCACAACATAATAAACGGAACAGGAACAATAAACATAGATACATATTAAGCTCCACAATTTTATCTTCCAACTTTGGTGTAGGTAAATCCTGAAGGACAAGTAAGAGTTGGCCATATCATGTATAATTACAATAAAGCAACATGCATTTAAAATCTCAATATTTCATTCTCAGAAAAATCAACCATCATAAATTTTTTCAAACATCTCTGAAATTTATGGGCTTTTTGCGTTGTTTCTTTTCTTATGCCTAAAGTCCCTGTTTGATCCAAAAATTGAATCCTATATAACTTGCAAATTATACAAATTGCAAATTATAAGGGAAATGAGGTCAACTTAAGAGTACATTGTTTTAGAAACTGGGCTACCACTGTGTAAGTTAGAGTCAATAAAATAAGACATAGGTTGCCAGTTTCTGAAAAGGGCCAGAGAGTGAGTGTTTTAGGTTTTGTAGGCTGTACACACTATCTTGGTCACATATTCTTTGCTTGCTTATTTTTTTATAAGACTCTGAAGGCATAAGAACCATTCTTAGCTTGTGGGCTGTAAAAAAAACAAGCCAGGAAATGGATTTGGCCCAGGTCACTTGTTGAATGCCAAATGATGCACCAAAAATAAGGTAAAATTTGTTTTGATTATACATGTATCACTCACCTGCACATAATCAATTCCTGGACTTTCATTTATAGATGGTCTAACTGTCCCTTCAGTACATAACCTTTCACCCAGACAGAATTTTTTCCAGCCTTCTTCATCCTCAGATTGTGGCTAAAAAGAAAAAAATAAATTTATTTGACAGTATTTATTTTTATACTAAAGAGTTAAAAAAATTACACCTCCCCTGAATTGGGAAGGGTGTATGCTAGGGATGTATCCTATTTCCATACCTTTTCAATCTATATGCAGAACAGATTATCTGGGAGGCTGGGCTATATGAGGTGAAATGTGGCATCAGGATTGGAGGAAGACTTATCAACAATCTGTGTTATGCAGATAACACAACCCTGCTTGCTGAAATGGAGGAGGATGTGAAGCACTTGTTGCAGCGGGTCAATGACTGCAGCATTCAATATGGATTGAAGCTCAACATAAAGAAAACAAAGATTCTTACCACTGGGACAGTTGGCTGCATCATGATAGATGGAAGAGATTGAGATTGTTAACAGCTTTAGTTTGCTTGGCTCCACAATAAACACCCTGGGTACCAGAAGCCAGGAAATCAAAAGACGAATTGCATTGGGAAAGTCTGCTGTCAGAGACAATGACTAGGAATTATAGAAGGAGAATTGATGCCTTTGAGCTGTGGTGCTGGAGAAGAGTACTGACTATACCAGGGACTGCTAGGAGAATAAACAGGTTCATCCAAGAGAGGGCGAGACCAGGCTGCTCCTTAGAGGCAAGGATTCTGAAGCTTTGTCTGACACACTTTTGCAAGGCGAGACCAGTTTTTGGAGAAGGACGTCATGCTTGGGAGGGTGGAGGGATTGAACAGGTTTAGGGCTACTGTACATAGGGTCGCTATGAGTCACAGGCAACTCAATGGCAAACAACAACCACCTCAATATTGTCTCCACTACAGAACAGAAATATAATGTCCAAGACTTTACACCGTGTTTAGTTTGGATCACATTTTTAATATATGTTGACAAATGAGGGAGTGTCCAAAAGGATGATAAATATCAGTATGGGAAAAACATACACTAAGAATTCTCATGAAAAATAAGTTGGTTTTTTTTTAATCATACAAAATGAGACATGATTATACACTTCTCATGCTTAAAGGACTCTGTGATGAAAGAACATAGTTATCGTCCATAGCCAAGAAATCAAAGTTGGACTGGCAGGCTCAATATAAACACCTTAACAAACAAATTTCTATCATACCCATAACAGGGCATATTATCACTCTGCACAGGCACTTCTTTACAAGGAATATGAAACCCCTAACAGGTTTAAAACTATTGTATTGGGACAACATATCCACTTTTTCCAATTATTCCAGGAAAGCAGAGGGTGTTTCTGTTTCATTTACCTGGTATGTCCTAGAATGGGTACGGCCAGTGTTCCTTGGAGGCAAAGATGACCAATGTTCATCTTTCATACTTTGGAAATGTAGCTTGTTGTTGTTGTTATGTGCCGTCGAGTCGTTTGCAACTCATAGCAACCCTATGCACAACAGCCCTAA